GTTCTTGTGCTCGTCGGCCACGTCTTTTACCGGAAGAGAAATAATATACCGGTCGGTCCTGGAATTTGATACGGGATCGACGGTAAACATGCTGGTGAACAGGATTACCGGATTTTTTCGCTTAAGGAAGTTCAAGATTTTCTTGCATCGTTCGACTCGTAGCTCCCGGATGCGGTTGGTAATCATGTGAGTTTTTTTTCCGTGCCCTCGACTTCGCCCCGCAATCTTCCTTTACGATCCGTGCCGTAAAGTCACTGATTCCGTGTTCCTTTGCCATTTTCCTTATTGAACGCACTGGATTCACCCGAATCTTCCTTTTGATAGCAGCGATAACCCTCGGAACCCGAGCTGACCTCGGACGACCTGTGGCCACCTTCGCGGATAGTTGTCCTTTCTTTTCTCGGACTAAATCGGATAAATCACAAATACGCTGCCACTTCGTCATGGTGCAATTGTCAAACTAAGTATATCATTTTCTTTTATACACAGCCTACTAAATACGGTATGAGCTATAGGTTCATGCATGCAAAGAAAACCAAGGCATTGTATGCACAGGTGAAATGGGACCCTTATTTGTACGATGATGCAAACATTATCACGCATACGGTAATGACGAGCAACTTTTTGAGAGTTCATAACGTGCAAATTGCCGTTATAACGGCAACGTTCTTTAAACCTGACCAGAAGGTTGAAAGGGACGCAAATTATTTCATCTATCGAAATGATCGTCTTGATGGACCCTGTGGTGTTGCCATCATTGTTCATAGACGAATCAAACATACAATTCTTATCTTCCATTTAATTCCACTTATTTAATTTTTGTATCCATGACAGATACATATTTCGACTACAATGTGCAGTCTTTATCAGTGTCCTGCCCACTAAAGAACTTATCAAAAACTAACCCTTCTTAAGTAATCATCCTCAAACTACAATGTGTAGAATCGGAACCTAGATAGCCAAAAATTTAAGTAAATTAAAGGACAAAAATCGATACAAATCTTTAATAAGGAAAACTCCCAAAGGTTTGGTAGCCTGTGGTACCTGTGATCTTGACATTTTTACCTAGGGTATGAGTACTTAATGGGGTAAGAGGGTTTTATTTATTGTCATGAATTGGCCACTTCCTCGGGGGCACCAGAACATGCCCAGGAGGGCTAGTGTGACCGTGAACTGTCAATAAGGCCATCACCGGCCGAGTTTTATAAAATCATGATGTTTGACATATCGCACGACGAGTTATAATTCTTGTTGAGAATTGACCACTTTTCCGAGGGCTCTGAGAAATTTCCGGGATGGCCAATGTGACCGTGGTCTCCTAATAAGGCAATTAGCGGCCCAGTTTTGTAAAACCATGAAGTTTGATGTGTCGCACGAAGGGTTTTCGTTCTTGTTGAGAATTGGCAAATGTCTTGTTACAATGGTTTTTTTTTTTTTTATAATTATCAACAAGTAAAAAAACGGCGCCGGTGCTGTAGTGGTAAGCGTGATTACCTCTCATCCCAGCAGGCCAGGGTTCAATCCCAGTCGGCGCCGCCGGGATGTTCTGAGGCATAACATCTCTGATCACGCCTTCCTTCGGATGGGAAGTTAAGCCGTTGGTCCCCGGTTCATGAGTTGATGGGTCGATAGGTAGGGTCCAGGTGTGGGAGCTGCCCTCCTGGCACGTCGGTAGCATTGGTGCTCAGCACGGAAAACAAGATCGACGGAAAAAACAAACCAAAGGAAAAAAAAAAACAAGTAAAACGTCATCAAAATAGCCTTGTAATAATTACACAACAAGTGGAATGGCCAATGTGCAATGTTTCATCAACTCTGTATTCTTACGATTAGTAAGTGGTATGTGCCTCCAGTGGGATGCCTTGGACCTCTTGCAATTTTCAAGAACTGATATCTACTAAATTGACCTGAAAAAGATCTGGCATCACTGACAAGTTCGAAATAAGGTGGCTATTTTGTAATTTGTACTCAGTTGTATAAGAAATATATAAAAATGCAGGTCACACACTGCATCTGTACTACCTTTATTCCCATATCAGTCTCATATAGAAAAAATGGCATTGCGAAAATGGCAGTCGACGTTATACGAAGTGTGATTCCCACGCAAATGTTTGAGAAATCATATTAAATTTATAAATAGTTTTGTCATGTTAAAATAAGTTGAATTGAAGCTTGCATATTATAAATTTATCAATATTTTTGTCAAGTTAAAATCAGTTGAATAGAAGCTTGCTTATTATGTTAAATCAGTGAAAAATATGACAACTCATATAGCAGAACTGTAACTTCACCTCTGGACGATTGAATTTAAGGTTGGGACTGGTTTGCAATTACTTTGCTTGATGGGACAAACTGACTTGATATTGTTTTCACATTTTTGATGATCAAATACCGTAATTTCATCACGTAATGTAAAAGTAGATGTCAATGGAACTGATATGCGATTATAGGCAGTATATGTGACCAACGTTTTTAGAAATTTATCATACAACTGAGAACAAATGACTCTCTCACTGCGTTAGTCTCAGCGGCCTCAGCTGTACTAAAAAGGAACCGATGGTCTCGAGGTCAAATAAATGTATTGATGTCGTTTGTAGGTAGATACCCTTGACATATTTTGTATCCACAAATCATTGTACCCACATGAGGTAGTAATGACTCATGAAATACACATACAAATCATGCACCGTGCTAACAGACAGGTACTGATCCACAAAAAATGTTGACCACCGTTTCTACCTACATAATGCAAAAAAGAAACTATGCAAACATTTGTCGATCATTCTCAAATTGACATCTAACCAGTTTCGTTCTGCATCTGTTGCCACCACTATCATACCGAACTCAAATAGTACACTTCAGTCTCGATTTGCGACAAGCGTGCGTCAACGAAATTCAACAATGTCATCAAATCCTATCGACGGTCTTCCAACCGAACTACTGTGCCAAGTGTTCGACTACCTGAACCATCAGCAGCAACTGACTGCAAAGCTTGCCTGCGTCCGTTGGTGCAACATTCTATCCAGTGACCAGTACATTCGTCACAGCCGGTTGATTTTATCTTGCTCAAATCTATGCAAAGTCAACGCCACTTCTACCCAGCAAATGAAACGCTACCGAGCGTTCAAGATCCAGGATTCGAAGATGTCCAACAGGAATCATTTTCTGCAGGCGCTACGAAAGTTTCTCACCTGCAAGGATGTATCGGAAAACATCGAAGAGCTCCGACTGGATTTGTACTGGTTCACAATTTCCGATTTGCTTGCCTGTGACCACGAAGGATTTTACATGCCAAAACTACGCCAGATAGGATTGTATCCCCGGAATCGTGTGCGTAACGTGATTCACTATCAACTACGGGCTCCTAATCTTCGGAACGTCCTGATCGGAGATGCTTGCACAACGGATACCTCGCTGACGGATTGCTTTCGTGATCAAATTGAACTCTTGAGTGTGACCAACGTGAGTCAGTTACAATTTTTCGAACTGTTCGGTACAGCCAACTTTGCCTATCTCCGCAACTTAACCCTGTCGGCCGGATATGGAGGATTTTTTCGCGGTAGGGACTTTACCACTGCTCATCTGCAGATGTTTGGTCAGCTACGGTATCTGAAAATCGTCGACGATAGTAATCTCTTCTACTTGGCTTACAGGAGCATATTCCAGGTGGCAAAGAACTTGAAAACACTGATCATACAGGGTATCAACATGACCGAGGAAGCGTTTGGTGAGATTAGTCGTATCACCAAATTGAGGGAACTGACACTGATGGTGTACATTGAATTGTCAAGTTTCAGCAGAAAACTTTCGCTTCGTCAGTTAGAAACGTTAACTACATTTTATGGAACGTTAGCACCGTTGGGAAGAGTTCCCAAGCTAAGATCGTTAACCGTGAGAAATCCTACACATTTTGGTGAAAGATACATTCGTAGTAGGGAGAAAGTTTTGGCTAATTATTTAAAACTATTTTGTCAAAACCGTTGCTTGGAGACGCTCGTATTAGATGAAGTTGAAATTGATAAAACTGCTGTCAGTCATATATGCACGCTTATCAATCTGAAGAGCCTAAGAATGGTTGGCGTCGATGTTGTAAGTGTTTGATATGCTTGTAATTGGAATTTTCATTAATCTTTCTATCCCTACCAACAGGATCAATATGACGTCCGCCGTATAGTCACCACATTGAAAAAGTTGCAATACCTACGAATCGAGCGGTGCTTCCTGGGGAATGACTTCTACTGTGAGAAAACTAAAGATATGAGTTTCTTCAGCGGGCTTCGATATCTAAACGGTCGATGCCAAATTTCAGACACAGACAACCGGATTGCCAAAAGCTATCGATCTTCGCCAGTGGTAATCATGTGCCTGAACCTCGTCGTCGATTCGATCATATTTTTTTGGTTTCTTGTTCTAATTATCCTGGTCTATGTGATGACTGTATTGCGAAAGGTTCTCAGCTCTATGGTGCGATGAAATGCCAGGATTAGGAACTGTATCTTATGTAGGGTTAAATAAATATTTTCTGTAAAACGATTAGTCAAATTTCAATTGATTTAATAGAAACAACCATTTTGACAGTTACTCTCCACAACTGCAATGATAATATCTTTATGACAAGCACTTCTCAAAAATAGAGACATCACCGCCTCAGCTAAGACTTCCCACTAGAGCACTTAATGGCACATGTAATAGAAATTAAATTACCCAAAATCAAACGTCCGTTGATGATGATGATGAATAATTCATGCAGCACAAGTATTCTACAAATTACGTGAACCTCAAACCGGTAGCCAGCCACTTGAGCTCGAGGGCCATCTCGAGAACTGTAGCTAATTTAGACAATTTGGAATTTTGTTCCTCCCATCCCATCAAACCACCACCACCAATTGGTGAGTCTAGCTCGAGTACACAAACTCGCAAAATATGCCAGGTATGGGCACCAACCAACTGCAGCAATGACGATGTGATTTCCTAGGCTATGTACCTACTGCAATACTTACAACTCGTCTCGCGTTGGGGTCCGCTCCTTGCTCCAACAGTTCTATGACGCAGGCTGTGTGTCCTCCTGCGGCAGCCAAAATTAGTGGCGTTGTGTAGTCCTGCAACGACACAGAGGGAGAGAAAATGAAAATATCTTTTTAAAATTTTCCGCCTTCTTGAGCAATACACACGAACACTCTCTGCAGCACTCTTAGTGCCGTTTGTTGAGAATCTTCAATGGGCAAGCACTTTTAAATTAAATTAACTCTCCGACCGGAGTCGAAGCAGCGAGCGCGGCAGGAGGGCCTACTGCCGGAATTGAAAATGTGACGAACACGAGAGCAGCTCCCATTAAACATTTTAAATAATTCAAGAAGTGCACACAAAACAGTCCATTCTTCACCAGCGGCAATGGTTTTGCGTGGAAAAAGGCGGATTCATTTTCATTTGATTCTGCGACAACCAAGGCAAGGGTAAAGAATTGTAATGGAACATTTAAGCCGTCACAAATAATGCTGGGAAGGGAACAATGTCCAGATTTTCCGCATTGTTGAAAACTTGCGAAACATTAAATTATGACTTTTGAGGCTTCCAGTCATTGATGACTGTATCCACAAAATAAGTCTTCAAGAAAAAGTGGCAAGAGTAATTTAACCTCAGGTTATTTCCTCCGGTACGGTGAGAATCGACTTTTGATTAGAAATGTTACGATGGATCGAGGATTTCCTTATCGATGAAATAAAAAAAAACATAATATTGAAACATCCAAAACGTTACATAGGGTTGATGTCTCTATAAGGAGATGAACCAGATCAAGGTTGAAAACCATAAGGCCCCTGGCACAGTGAAAGCTGGTGATCGATGTGACAAATGATTTTATTAATAATTATTATTCCTTTTGCTGGTCAGCTCGGTCACCAGCTTTCACTCTGCCATGTCCATAATATCGGCCTAAGTGTCTTTGGATAAGTTTCCGCTAGAGGCAAAGAACCAAAGTTGAAATGACGCCTGAGAAAAATAGTAGGAAATTGTATTATCTTAAAAAAAAAAAGTTGGAGGGTGGTGTACAAGACACAACCGCTTTGTTGGCGTAGGACTACGAAATGTTTGTTCAATTCTCTAGTTTGTTGTTTCCGATATTGTTTTGAAAAAAAAAGTGAATTTCATAACTCAACTCTTTACAAGAGTGTTCGTTGCGTTGTACACTGAAAAAGAATCTTACTCAGAGAGTTAGTCACTTTTATTCATTCGTATGAAGAAATTTTTAAAAACTTAGGCTACTCAAGTAACCTACGCTTTAAGAAAATTTTCCATACGAATGAGTAAAAATGACGCACAAATCAGTAAAAGTAGATCACTGAGTTAGTTTCTTTTTCAGTAAACAACGCAATGAACACCCCTGTTTATCACTCGGCAGTCAAACGATGGCTGCAGTCAAACTTTCTACGTTTCCCTTACTTAAGCATTTAGATTAGCATTCTATGCCCCTCCTTTTTTCTGTATTTTACTTGACTATCAAGCTGTACAGTTCGATTTTCTTTTCGCTTGCTCTCTCGAGTCGTTCGGTGTTTTAAGTCGGTCGTTTGGTCGTGGTACCCGTCACGAATTTTCGCTAGCAACATGTCGTCAGTACTTGCCTCTCTTGTGGCAGTCGCTAAATCGGCGGTAGTGGAGCAACAATTGAATGGTGATGGGTCGCCCAAGTTTGGATGCAACCGCATCCATTCAAGATGCCCCGAAAAGGCCTCGTAAGAAAGCTGGTCCAGCAACCACACGGAAAGGTTGCTTCAGAGTAATCCGTTCTCGGTACTCCCCGAAGAAGCAGATATAGATCCAGTTGAGAAACGGGAAAAGTGCCCTCACTGTTCACCTCGACGAAGGAACTCGCGTTGCTTAGAAACGAGCTGGCTAAAAATCAAATCCATGCGCTGTTCAAGTTGTGCAGCACGCGGATCAAAATCTTGTGCTCGACGTTGGCGGAGTACAATGCTGTTGGCACTTTTCTTCAGCTGAACCGGTTTAAGTTCTACACACACGACGTCCCTGGAAGCAAACCACCGAAAATGGTGATCCGTGGTCTTTCAAATCTCCCTGTTGCGGAGATTAAAACGAAATTGGAACACCTTCATCTGCAACCAATCAACATTTTTCCCATTGCGAGACGTGATGAAACCAGTGCATTCCGGGACCAGTTGTACCTGGTGCACTTCGATAAAGACTCCACCAGTGTGGCTGCTCTGCGGCAGATTCACGCACTGTTCAACATCGTGATTAAGTTGAAGCAGTATCGCCCTTGGCACCGTGACGCGACACAGTGCACTAATCGTCTGTCATTTTGGCACGGTACGAAGAATTGTCACATGAAGGCTCGCTGTGGATAATGTGCTGGGGCTCACAAAACTACCGCCTGCAAGAAGGAAGAAGAAGCTAAACCTAAATGCGTGAACTGTGATTCCAACCATCTTGGCACCGATAGGAGATGTCCCAAGCGAGCGGCCTTCATCCAGATCTGATAACAGGCTTCCACGAGGAATCAACCTGGTCGACACCGCAATAATCGTGTTCCTGTTGTCAGCATGGACACGTTTCCAGTACATTCCGCACCTAGCACCGCTTCCACTAAACCAGTGCCCCCCGTTGAGAATCCAACATCAGATCAAGCGGGTCCCAGCCACCATTCAGTTTAGCATCGCCTCACTGCCGCTGCGGCCCAGCCGAGCCATGGCTCTACTGCCTCGGGATTATCGTACGCCCGTGCTGTGTGAGGTGAGTCAGAAGACAATTACTCACAAGCGACGAACTAGTGATCCTCGTGACTGAGGTGATCATAAACTTGCGCACCACCAAGACACTACCTGAACAGCTTCGTGCAGTTATGTCCCTCGTGCAAAAGTATGAACCGTGAAGCCGGCAAAATAGTCAACTGGAACGCTTGCTCACTAAAGAGTAAAATCATTGAGTTCGTTGATTTCCTCAATGAACATAGCAGAGACATCGCCGTCATCACCGAAACACACCTGAAGCCGGAGATAAACTGCTACCGACTGCTACCGAGTTTCCAGTTGAAGATGATCGAAGCGGTGGGTGTGGAAGTCTCCACTCCTGTTGGCCCTATTACCATCATTGCAGCCTACTGTCCCAAACCAGTCACCATCAGGGACGGGTTGGCAGCAGACTAACTCGACGCCGTGAGAAGTACATCATCGCTGGCGACCTGAACGCCAAACACCAGGCTTGGGGCAACAGTCGACGCAACCAAAACGGCTCAATCCTGAACGACGACCTTCAAGAGGCTCACTACACCATAATAGCACCGGATCCACCCACTTGAGTCGGTCTGACGTACACTTCACCATGGACATCTTCGTCAGCAACATGGGAGACAACATCTCGCAACCTGTGACCCACCAGGAGCTGAGTTCGGACCACTATCCGATGGTGGCCGAAGTGGGCTCATCCGTCAACCGATTCCAAGCTTTCTGACACAACTACCATCGCGTCAGCTGGGATCAGTTCCAACACTGTCCTTCCGGAGACGCCCGAAGACGTTGACCGGTGTCTGCGTTCCATCGAGAAAGTGATATCCCGGGCCAGGGAACAACACGTGCCAGTATCCAGATACTCTGAACCTTGATAGAATTACCAAAAATGTCATTAGACTCCGTAGCACCATTCGAAGGCAAAACCAGCTGTCTGGCTTGCCTGTCTTGAAGGCCCACTGTAATCGTCAACAAAAACCATCCAAGCTAGGATGGTGGACCTCAGAAATCAGAACTTTGCTAACAGGATTGGATTGCTAACCAAAATCCTTAAAAATAAGCCAAGACCCATTCCACCACTGACCCCACTGGATAGTCCCGGCGACCCAGTGGTTCATCTGGTAACTCCTGTAGAGAAGGCTGCCACTATAGGTCAACACTTCATAAGCTCCCATAATCTTGGACGAAACATCGTCAGCCCTCACGAAGCTGAGGTTGCTGTAAACGCAACCAACCTCCATCAGATTCCTAATATTTTTCCCGAGGAATCCGAGATTACGGCTGACGAACTGTTGGCCTATATCAAATCATCTAAAAACATGAAAGCCCCAGGTTTCGACAACATCCTGAATCTGGAACTCAAACACTTCAGTTCCATATTCTACAACCATCTGGCACTGATTTTTAATCTGTGCCTCCGACTTGGCTACTTCCCCATTTCGTGTTGGAAGTCAGCTAAAGTCATACCCATCCGGAAACCTGAGAAGGATCCGTCCTCTTCTTTAAGTTATCGACCAATCAGCCTTCTCTCAAGGTTATCTAAACTGTTCGAAATGACCAATTTTCGTTGCATTTTCTTGAATTGGCACCCTGCCCGAAAGACGTAGACCTACGTTAAAAAACACACTGAAAAAAATAATGAAGCTAAAATATTGAAATGTCCAAAACGTCACGTAGGGTTGGTCAGAGATGGCAAAATCACAAACTTAATTGAATTGTGTATTAACTATTGACTTAATCTAAAAAGTGAATTCAAAGAAAATGTTCTTATAAGCATTGCCCACAATTTTTAAATTTCAAAAATGTATCATGGCCTGCTAAGAAAAATATGTAAATATGAGCGATAGTGCGTCTACGATTTAATGCATCAAGGCACAAAAGTTTCCAGCGATGTTCGTATGGTGGGAGATTGACAGGATCGTTCCACGGGAGGTGGTGTAATGCATAACGTACGATTTTTGACGTAGGATTACGTCTTTCGGGAACATATTGGGGGTGCAATTTCAATTAAACAAAATCGACCGCGTTACGAAAAGTGGTCAGATTTTGATCACTTATAACTCTGTCAATAGCGGATGGAAATGAATTCTAAACAAGCCAAGCGATTGGAATGTCATCTACGAATCTGCTAAAATGAATTTTTCATCAAATTTCAAAAGATCACTATTGAAAATTTTACAAATGTTGCTATAATAATTAAAATCATCAACGATTGACTGCGAAAAACGCTTTCCCTAACACAGATTTAAAAATCGAATTCACTCCGGTCTCTCCGAACGGTGTTTATTCAATCACCGTGTGTGGTGAGTGGTGGTGTTCAGTTGTCATCATCATCAGCAGCAGCAGCAGCAGCAACAGTG